TAACTCCTGGTGGCTCAGTCGTTGGGTTGAGAGTCAGAGTCAGAGGCGAGCGCAGGCTGCAAGCGCCCTGGAATCATTAAGCACATGACTTCGTAACTGTAACTAGAGGAAGCCCGCCATTCCACCTTCGCGGAGTCTACATCTATGTACATTGGCGCCTATTCCTTTATATTCAATACCAGCGGTACCTAATGACAATCTCAACAGGGTCGGCCGGGAACGTGCGCTCGCTTGCGGTCAAAATTTGTGCAGGGCGCCGCTGCCAAATTCGAGTGTCGTTCAAGTAGCGGTCGGCTTGATTCGTGAAATTTCGGAGCTGGTCGTTCCGTCCCGGACCAGGCGGGTGCATTTGTGGATCAAAGAGCTCCTTGAGGCACGCATAGAGCGGGCGAGCCAAGCCCAGGTTCGTGCGGTACGGACCGTTGTCACAGGCCACCGCCTCCAGCGCGGGCATCATGGTGCTGCAACCGCGACCAGACCAGTACCGCTCGAGGGCGTCGTCCGGGAAGAGTGTGGTCACGAAGCCCATGTGGAACGTCGCCGAGCAATCTGTCATGACCAAGCGCTGGACGTTGGGAGAGTGGGACAGGAAAGTTTGTACCACATCCAACCGTGCGTGGATGCCAGACAGGCTGAGGTATCGAACAGAGGAGAGCGATATGTAACGACCAGAAGCGTGCGCATCGTTGCTGACACTCGCATTCACTAGGTGCATAAGGAGAGGTGTTGAATCCACTTCGATCCCGTTGTCGGGGTCAGGAGACCGGATGGCGCAGAGTCGAAGGTCCTTCATAGCAGGCGCGGTCGTGTTGGCCAAGGTTTGCAATGCGCCGTCGACGTTGGAATAAACGATCGACAACGTATTCATGCGAGGGAGGAAGACCTTCAGCTCGGCCATGTGGTCAGGATGCGACGGCTGAACCTGGTCAAACTCGATGTATTCTAGGTTTGGCGCGTATATGGAGAGCGCCTTGATTGCCTCCGTCGAAGGTCCCCGCCCCACGCGAAGCGACCTTTGCATTCCTGGAGCCCTTGGGTACACGGACTGGCAAGAAATATTAGTCCTTTGTGGTGCGCACCGTAGTAACGAACAGCGGACTGACCTGATTTGGTGTGTCAGGGGGAGGTGGACCGGATTCCCATGGAGAAGACATTCTTGTACCGCCGTCTGCGAGTTGAGATATTATTTCACGGCTAGGCTTGATCTCGCAGTGATAGTGGACGGTGTATATTACACTCGTCTGCTGAGCCTTATATGCCTCACCGTGTGGCCCAGCCATACCCCATGGTGGGCTCTCTTGCGCGGTGGGGCCTTGGCCTTGCCAATTGCTGGGTGGGACTTCACGCAAGAATGTATGTGCCCGTGGATTTTCGCTGCGTCTCAGCGCCGGAGAGCCACGGCGATGTGTGCACTGAGTGGAAGGGTCTTAGCGACAATTTCCCCATTTTCTCACTTACCGTCGATCAAAACGAATATCTTCCGACGATGTATAGGATACCATTCCTTGTGCCATATGGTACGCACAGCAACCTGACTCGTGGAAAACATGATACTCTACCACGAACGACACGACTCATGCCAAGCCCAGTCATTGATATCGGTGGCCGTAGCATATCTCTCTGCCAATTCTTCCCCAGTCATATTGTACCGACGAGGATCTGCACGGACGAATGACACGTCAACCAGGACCCGCAGCTCATCCACAAATCCAGGAGGGTAATGACCCTGTGGTTCCTCCTTACTGCGGCGGAGAAGCTGTACCCGTTGCAAGCAGTTGTTGGCCACCCTGGATGCGACCATATCCAGGAAATGTCCCATCTCGTGAGCGTCCGGATCGAACGCGCAGTCAAAGGTGAGGACCTGTAACTCCGGACACACCACGAAACCGGTCTTGTAAACATCCAGCAGACGGACCCAGTTGGTGGCCTCACATTCCCATAGCGTGAGATACCGAAGATCTGGCATGAACAGGAGAACGTTGTTGAAGAGAAGCGGATGGCTATGGGCCCAAAGGCCTTTGATGGTGAGGTTTCGCAGACAGACGTACGGAAGACGACGGCTGGAGTCGAGGCATCGGCTCAAATGAATTAACGTCGGCGTCCAACCCACGTCTTGTAGCTCTGTCTCAACGTCGATAAGCTGGGAAACGTGCAATGCCTTCAGCGCCGGTGCTTCGATGGTCCAGAGCACGGCGCTGGTGACGTTCTCTAGGGGAGATTCGACATGAAGGTAGTAGAGTGAATTGAGGACCAAAGACTGCGCATCCTGTTCTCGAAGCGATCCAAGGGATTCCTTCACACCAGTGAATCCAAGGCTGAGGCAACGAACATTTGGTGACTGCTGGGTAGCGAAGCGAACCATCTGTAGAGCTTCCTCGACGCGAATCCCTCCAGGAACTCCCAGGTGCAGAGCAGTGAGTGCATGCATCGGCGCGATCCCATAGCGAGAAAAGCGTTGGTCCATGCGCACAACGGACAAGGGCGGGAGAGACATTCTGTCCAAGATCTGGAGTCGCGGACGATCAAGCCACTCGATGTCGCCTGGGTCATCGTACCAACGGGAGAAGTCCGACATCCACAGCTCGCGAAGGACAGGGAGACGAGCGTCCAACAGGGAGCGCATGATCGCAAGGATGCCCTCATCGCGCCTGGAGAAGACACCGAAGGTCCTCAATCGATGGAAGTGATTATGTAGCGACGTCATACAGAGAACAACTGCCGCTGCTACATGGTCGCCGGGCGGGGGAGGCAAATCGTCAGGATGGCTCAGAGCCACAGTGACGCAGATCGGTCGAGAACGCGATAGTCGAAGCCAGCGGTCCAGGTGCACGACGCAGCTTTGTGAAAGCGTGTTGACATAGATGTAGTTCCAGAATTGGGAGTCGCTCTCGATTATATCGTGCCATCGTTTGCAGACTCCAGTTAGGTGATAAACGGGGGATTCAAGAGAGTGGTGATAAAGAGCGAATATGTTTAGAAGCATTTCTGTTGGAAGAGAGTGGATGGTAGCGCCGACATGAGGCGTCATCTCCGGGGGGAAGTACTTGTCGTCCCGGATCGCCGATTCGCGCTCTACAGAACGATGTCAATCCGCTTGACCGCGTTGGAAAGGAGAAAAACCCACCTATCGGCGATCAGCAGCTGACGGTCCTCTGGAGCCAGGGATCGCTCCGACGCCTGGTTGACCGGCTCGTATCTGCAGTTGATTGAATTTCGATGAGGCGCAACCAACAGACATACATATACTCCAAACCACAATCTTTTGTCGCATACTGTGGCGACAGCGTCGTTACCTCCTCAATTGTTGGATTCCCGGCATCGCGCTGCAGATCAAGTGGACAAAGGTGTACACATCCTCCAGATAACAGGGTCGGCAAGGCAGCGCAAGCGATAGTAGAGCTCATGCGAAGGAGATGCAGAATCGGGCGGACAATGCTGCTGAAAGCTTCATCGCCTTGAACACGTTGCGCGACTATGGAGCTCCGGAGGGGTGGCGACGAAACTTCCAGATGGGAAGCCTGTTGGAGATCTTGCGCTCTCTGTTGCAGACGCGGCATTGTCTGATTGTGAAGGTGGGTGTAGACAACGCCCCGTAACAACGCCGGCGAAGGAGGGGCATGAGTCACGAAATCGTGAGAGAGTAGCAATCGTTACGATGCCCTCTCTTCGAGGCTCGATCCCGACTGCCATTCCCTGGGCATGCCATGATACACGTCGCATCGTCTCGCACGGGACCATAGAGATTCGCAGGGACAAGGGTGCATCGACACTTCGTGGAGGCACTCCTACTCTGACATACCCGAGTCGAGACCATAGTCGTGGTGTCACAAGTGTGCACGAAGAGTGACTCACACCTTTAGTGTGCTCGACCTCTGGAGGAAGATAACGGAGGCAAATACGGTGCAAGCTCCACGGATATCGACGTGAACATCCGCGAAGGATAGAATACGAGTTCCTATTGTTCACGTCACGTGAAGAAAAAACAGTCCGTGAACACCAATGAATGGAGTTGTTGCATATGCATCGCTCTCGCGTTGCTAACAGCGCAATTCTGTGACCAACCGATGTGATTAGGCGGAGCTACTAGTCGGGACCGGAGCGGACTGGGTGTAGGTGACGAACTCCGTCGTCTGCGTCAAGTAGGGTGCGTGTGTCATGGCAGTGTTCCTGACGCGCGCCATACTGCGATGAACGTCAATTCTGATCGGCGAACAGAAGATTCACGGCGCATAAGTAGAAGACACGTACGTGAACGTGCGGGGAGTCTGATTAGCGGCGTCAGTGGTGATGGTCGTGTCTGCCTGCGGGTTCTGAAAAGAGTGGAAGCGTTGTCAAACGGACTGAAGCTATGAACGCGGCGGTAAGGAGACGAACGGGAACCGCGAAGGCAACGACGGCAGAGGACAAGAGGGCCAGAGAAACCTCGAACTGCATGCTCTGCAACGAGGATAGTATAAGTAGTAGCGAACGTCGGTAAGATCTCTGGTCTTGAGGGGGGAGAACTGGGTGGAATGTGAGCGTGTACAGGTTTTTATGGACCCACTTCCAAGCCTGTGTGCCTTTGCACGGCAGCCGGACGAGAATTGCGCATCCGCGCGACGTGCGCTCAAACTCGCGCCAAAGCTCGGTAGTGATGACGTTTCACCAGGGGCAAGGCTCTGCGACAACGGGGTTGGCCTGAGGAGGGCCAAAAAGCCGCCTCACCGAAGTCGGCCGGTCGGCGCGACATACGAAGGGCCCGCCGCGCTGATGTCCAACAACGAAAGATTTCATGATCTAACGTTCTAAGGACGCGAACCATCGTCGTCCCCGCAACGTTACATATCGACCTCTTCCTGGGCTCAGACACGGTGGATGGCGAGCAGCAAAGTTGCGCGACAAATAAAACCCCGTCAATTCTTTCGCGAGAAATTGGAGAGCTGCTTGTTGGCTGCCCGAGCGTAAGTACGAGACCTGTCTCGTCGGTCAGAAGCAAGAGGTGGCAGGAGCTCGGAGATCGCATCGTGTGAAAGCTGCGCAAAGCGTTCACGTGGGCGTCGCGCGAATCCTCCCTTCTCTGTGTTTCACACCAACGGGTTCATTGGTCCTTCAACTGCCTCGCTGTCGACTGGCCTCCTCACAGACACTAGCCTTGACTCCCGAAATATATTGGTCTCCCGCTATATCGGCATTGCACTGAGCCACGCAATCTCATTCCATAAGTACACAGAACATACACCACTTGCATTCGATTAGAAATCCAAGGGGAGTAAAAGACGAGTCCAATCCATTCGATTCCTTCGCAAAAGTATACCCGGTCAAGATCATCAGATCGGGTTGCCGCTGGCGTCAATCGTCATGGGCGGAATACTGATACTGTCGACCTTCCAGGTAATGCCACCATCGGGAGTGTATAGATCCGTGGCAACCACTCCGGCGCCCATTCCAAGCGTTTTGGGGAAGGTGTAGTCGGATGCAGAGAGTACGATACTCGTGTTCAGGTAGTACTGTGATAGCACGATCAACGTCTGCGCACGAAGCCAAGGACACTGGTTGAGAGCATACCTGGGTGCTCCGGGCGCCGGTGCACTTTTCTTGGCATTCGGTGCCGGTTCCCCATCCTCCCTGGATCAATGGACCATCGTCTAGCATCAATGCTTGTAAGTTTTCAAATCAAGCGAAGTGTATAACCATCTCTTACAGCTCACTTGGGTCGATGTCACTGTGCCGTTGATAGTCACGGTTTGGTCCCATGTGATCTTGTCGCTACGCAGCTGCGTACCCACAAAGTTAGCATTCGTGCAAACGTAGACTAACGACACCGAAACATACCTTGTAATGAATGTGAATCTGATCAGTGGGCTCTACGGGGACATAGGGCCCTGACCACTGGCTCAAGACGCCGTTGATGTATCTGAGAGCGAGTCAGCCCACCTGCTTGCTGCGAGACACTAGGGAGAACTTACCCAAAGTAGCTCGCCGCGGAACACCACTGGTTGTTTCGCGCGCCGCAGCTGAATACGAGAATCGTGAAATCGGTATACCCAAGATTGCTGACGTGTACCTACTAAGCTTGCATATTCTTCGCAGAGTCAGCTCCGGCTTGGATGAGGCCACTGGTGGCGTTGCTGATGCCAGGCCAAAGAAACAGGTAGCTGTGGAAGAGTACGAACATTGCATTTGCGATCAAGGGCGATCAAAACTTACTCCTCATTATCCGGAGGGGGAGTTCCAGGGATCAGAACTGTGCTCGCTTCGATTATGGACGAAGTCTTGGCGGTGGGCCCGAGAGAATAGGCAGCTCCCCATGTGTCTGCTTTGACGACAGTCGCCAGTATACCGGAGACGACGAATGCGAGGAGCACCTGCATAATGTACTTGATGATTCACGTTATGAATAGGACGAGAAACCTGTCTTGCTACGGACGCCGCTCGTCGATGCTTATATACTTGCTGGACGAGTATACGCTACCGTCATAGGTAGCGGGTGCATGCGGTAGCGCGTGGTTCGGTTTTGCCGATACCTGGACAGAAGTTGGTACTTTTGATCGGCGTCAATAGTCAGGCGGGCTCACGAAAGCGCTCGCTTGGGGGCGGCGACGCTCGCAGGATTATCTAAGGTTATTTATAGCAAGACGTTGGCGTTAGTATATACTCATTCGTCTTCGGAAAAGCATCATAACGTACTGGGCTGCAACAACATTATGTGAGTTGTAGCCCCCTTGGCGCTAATAAACATCGCAAGGGTCGCCACATCTAATCCAGAATATTATCAGCAATCTCAGAATCAACAGGCTCAGAGCGACCCATTACTCCCGAAGCTCGAGCATTTCGGCTCCCGGAGCGCCGGGGTCCGACGGCCCATTTCGAAGCAACCAGACATCACGTCATCAGGCCCCCAACGACTTGCGTGAAGCCTATCGCCTTCAGAGATGCGACTATAAAGTTGTGAAGGAAGCTTGGGTGGTCAACCTTTAGAACCTCAAGATGACCTCCCATAACGAGGGGCCACATGATCACCGGGGTTTTGCTGGCGAAGGCCGAGCGGAGCGACATGTGTGAGCTGGTGTTCTCGACAACGAGTCCGTACTTGATCCGCAAGGGTAAACTGATCATCGACGAGTGCAAAGACACCGCGCCATAACTGGTGGGAACGCTCAGCCCATGCGATATCTTGTTCCGTACCGCGTGGCCACCGGTCGTCCTTGATGGCATCCCGAGTCTCGTTGCAAGGAATTGGTGCACCGTTATGAAGCCAACCGTTCGGGGCATGGACAGATGAGGGAAGATGTCATATACAGAAAGTCAGTATCCGACGCAGAAGGGCGAATTGTATACGGTCGAAGTCGAATCTCGGGCAACCAGTAAGATCGACACACTGACCGAGAAGCATCCTCCGTCCTGCGAATATAGCGGCCTGACCTGCGAGGAGTAGGTAACAATGCTCTGGTTACGTCGCGATCGATCCATTCTGCGTCTTCTTCGGTCCAATGTCTCGGTGGCTGTCTGAGGCTCTGCCTCAGCGTACCAAGTCGTGCTCGACCAAGTAGAAACATTGTGTTCCTCGCGCATGTTATAGTGCATGTTATAGACAGCGTGCCGTTACGGATGAGTTCGGCGTAAGTCGTCGTTGCGGTCAAATTGCGCCGTTTTAAATTTTGCATGCAGGATCTGACGTCGACATCAATGATTTCACCTGACATAACCTTCTCACGGTAAGTTCGATCAGTTGCGGCCCATTGATATGCCTTTGATGCACCCTGTTTCGCTCAAAGATCATCCTGCTTACCCCCACATGGATGCCGAATGTCTCAGCTAGTCGCTCTTTCCTCCCCCCCGCCGTTCAGTTGTTGCATCCTGAAGCTCGCAAAGTTCTGCCAAACCATCGGCCGAGTTCCACTCTACACATGGCGATATCCCAACATACACCAACACACCATCGACCCGCTTTGAATCCGCCGAGCTCTTGGTGTGCGCGCCCCGCGATGCACGGCGAGCGCGAGGCGTGGACGTGTTCTCTCCACCTCGGTCACCCGAAGCCGGTCGACCCTGGGTCTCGGTTGGGGAACACAGCCGATTACGTCGCCGCGCACTTCCGCCGCACCTCTCGTTTATAAGAGTGATCGCAGCTCGTTGACCTCTTGGCGAAAGCTTCCCCGCGTCAACATGCTCAGCGTTGTCCGCATCGTCGCTTTCTGCGTTATCCTCGTCGCGTCCATCAATGGCCTCCCCACCGGTGCGCGTCCGCGCGCCGGCGGATATCCCATCATTCCGGGCGACAACGGGTCGTGTGCGAAGATGGGTCAACTGTGCGCCAGCAATATTGGTGATAACTACAACTCGATAGTTGCCGAAGGTGCGTAGTTCCGAGTTATGACCCCAGGTTTCAAGTCCTTAGTCGGAGTGCAGGAGGAGAGTTCGGAGTGTCAAGTCACTGTTTATTGAGCTCCATGTGCCAGCAAATGTTCTACAACGGCACCGTCGACGACTGGATCCAAACGTACTTCGGATTCCGCAGTGATGACAGTACGGCATCTGGAAGCTACAGCAGGAAGGCCGCGAAGTTACCCGAGAACGTGAGTTCGGCCAACCATGCTTCATGGCTTATCCCAGATTGAGCGATATGGGTCTAGCTTTATGCTGCGCTGTTATCTTCGGACGAAACAACAGCTACGCAACAGTCCTTCATCGATGCTTACAACTCCACCCTGGCCGCAGCAGGCGGTCCCTACCCAGCGTAAGCTCTTCGACTGGCGTACCCTCTCGTTTCACCTACTCATACCTGGCCAACCTCATCAGCGTCTCTTACGTCTCCGAGATTTGGACTCGTATCTCTGCATGGACCGTCTCCTGCTCATCCTTCGAGGTCTCGTACGACTCACTCGCAGATTGGGTACGTAAACAATTCGTAGTTTGATATGAGCATACTTATGCAGTCACTGACACCGGCTAATAGTTGCAATTGTCTTCGACCGAACCTGGCTCAACCACTTGCTGAAAGTGCCCCGGTGCTCACGAAAATATAAACGTTCCTATCAGACAGAACATTACTAGTGATGGACTATCAGATACGGTCGCAGACACTGAACGACGGCCATTTTACCATAAGAATACTCATACTTCAGCTACTGAGAGATAGTCATCGATCCTGGCCGGACGGCAGGATCCACAACGCCTTGTTACAACCTCGAAGTAATGCTAATAACGAAACTTCTCTGCGTCGTGTCCTTGTACGTTAACATCCCCTTCGCCACGTCCTCGGCATTTCCCTCAAGCTCAGTTAGACAAGCCCCCCGGATGCGTTTTGCTGATAAACGCCAAGTGTTTGAGGTTATTCGAGAATCTCGATAGTCGTTATTCTCTATACCTGAGCTCAAGGACGCCGCGGTCAGTGGTCACCAAGCGTGGCGAGCGTTCTGCCGGGAAAAGCCGGGCAGCTCTCTTTTCTCTCCATCGACGGCGCTCGCGTTGCGTGCACAAGTCGCGTTTTCTGCTTGTTTTCTGCACCAAGGAGAGATGGTTACACACTCCGCTGAATACGAACTTTGCTCTCCGTCATCCTCTCGAGCACTAATCTCCCCGCCCAGTACTCATCAATCTACTTGCTCAGAGATGACTGGTGGACTTCACATTGCAAATGATCACTTATGGGTCACGAATGCCGACACCGCAGGTCAGCAGACCACCAACGCACCCACGGATGACCTTCTCGACCCCGCGCCTCCGCAGGGCCATCCCCACAAACCTATATAACGCAGCAGGCCCATCTCCGTCTCCATTCATCCTCCTCATGCAGGCGCTCCTCGTCAGCAGGTACGCGGGGGGCACGTATACGAGGCGGAGACGGAGTTCGGGGGCGTCTTGTTCGCGCGCCGTGCAGTGATGTTCGCAGCTTTTTTCTACGAAAAGCGTGCGCTGCGTCGCAGATTGACTGTTCCACATCCATACTGCACAATGCTACATATGTCGGTCGACGACCTAAGGAGGGAAACGAGTGCAACAAGACGCAGCATGGCCATTACGCAATCTCCTCGAACCCAGATTCCACGCACATGGCGCGCCCCGCGTTGTCCCGCACTAACGCAGGGTCGTGCGCTCTTATAAAAGGAGCCCGACCCGGCGCTCGCACGATCCCCTCAACATCCTCCCAGCCAAGGTACGTCCACTCCTGAACCAGTGGGACGCAGGGCGAGTCATAAACTGGGACAGACCGAGCGAAGGGACGCTTCGCAGACGCTGAGATCAATCGATCAACATATATGTGGTCACTCGGTGGATCGCTTGTCGCTGCGTTCGTCGTACATGACTCATGTGTGCCCCCTCGTGCGCTAGCGCTGTGATCAATCTGCATATGCGTGTACGTGCCCCTGCGAAGTAACTTTATTCATCGCGCGACCGCGGTCCCATGCGCCGCCCGCTTCAGTTCACAAGATATACTCATGTCGGTTTGATGTTCACCCCCTCGCTCCTCCGATCTCCTGCTCGAACATCAGACGCACTGCTTACGATGGTCTACAACGAGGCTGCAATGGACTCCCAGGTGACGCTGGGTGTCTTCGGCACATCCGCCATCACCCTCGTCGACCCGCCGGCGCAGGGCGACGTCGTGCTCATCTTCGCGCCGGACAACATGCGCAACTCGGGGGTGCACCGCGTCGGGTCCCCGAACGAGCGCTTGTACACCGTGCAGTCGAATCAAGACCTGACAGTGACCGAGCTGCGGGATGCGCACGGGCTCGTCGCGAAGATCGAGTATCGGACGATGCTGCCTGATCAAGTGTCGTTGCGAAGTCGCGGGTTTAAGCCCATACGGATGAGCAGCTGGTTGAAAGAAGTCGGCTCGAAGTCGTAGTACGTGCCCGCTCGTCCGTTCAATCTGCAGCATGTTACATGATCAAAACAGCGTCGTGTTCGAGGCGAAGGGGGCGAAGTATCTCTGGAAGACGAGTCGCACGGGGCAGGTTAATGTAAGTGATCATGAAGCAACTTCGAATTCGAAGGGGAGACGCCTTACGGCGATCCGCCGAGCTGATCCTACCTGCTTCCGCTAATCCCTTCTTCCCTATGAATTTACTAGTGCTACGGCGAGACGCCCGGAAGTTTGCAACCGATTGCGTGGTACGACTCGACGCGGTCAGGGCCACGCCAGCGCGCTCTCCAACCGACCGAAGCAGAAGCAGGCTGCGGCCACCTCCATCTGACGAACGCTGCTTCCCATGTCCAGTGAGCCTCCACGAACCTTATCACTGCTATGATATTTTCGCCCGAACATCGGTCCCCGTACGATTGTCGTGCTGACGCTTTATGCTGAGTTGATGATGCATGTAGGGACGATCTGGTTGCTTCGCTGCTGGTGGTGCAAATGCGGGCGTGGCTGAAGCAGGACCGATGGGCCAAAGTCGGGACGGGATACGGATATAGCACGAGCATGTGAACGCATTTCGAGAGGTCTTCTCCTTCTTCAAATTGAGACTGATCTTGGTACGTGTACCAGATTCATGGCTTGACGGTCGATTTCGACCGTAATACTCGTCCAGGGTCCTTCCTTCGATCTTCATTGAAGCTCCACTCCAAACGATTGCGATGTTTCGCGGTAACATCACTACTACCCACGCAAGTTATAAACGTTACAGCCGGCGATTTTGCTACGAAGCTTAATCCGGCGTCGCTGCGTAGACGTTGCGTCACTTGACCCTCTCACATGGGAGTTTAGAAGTAGGAAGACGACCCGCTGCAATATAAAAGGGCGGCTGAAACGCCCGGTTCCCCCCACATTCGTCCCGTGTCAAGCAGGTGCGCTGCGTCCCGTCTCCGGACGTCACGGCAGCGCATCTTTATACGGAAGGGGCAGAACGAGCTAGACATACATTCACCCGCGAGAGAACCGCTTTTCTCCAAGCCTCGTGGTGTACAATTGTTCTAACATAGGCGTTCCGGGACGGCATGGTTGCGGTTTTGTAACGGATGACTTGCGTGCTCGTTTCGTGAACGGATCGACGGTGGTGCTGTATGTGGTCCGACGTATGCATTAAGGTGAAAGACACTCCTGGCCGTGAGATCCCCGGCCAAACTGTCGGGCTCTGTGGGTACACAAGGTCGGATGGGCCAATGGCTCCGGAGTGAAGGTGCCTAGATCATCATAAATCAGACTTCTGAGTTTAGCCGCGGCGGCTCGCTGCCGTCGCGTATAAAACCTACAACTTTCTCTCGGCCGCCTCTCGCCATCCCGGCCAAGGGACGTCCCGTCCTCTACACCTTAACGGACGGAACGTGAGTTATCAAACGTACCAGGAGAGAGCGTATTCGACGTGCTTGATTGTCCCTGCGGCGGATCGCATAGCCGTAGGGCGTTTCTGCACGGCCGTACATTCTGCGTTGGCGCACCACTCACTCTGTGCGGGCTGGGCGCAGGTGACTCGATCTCGGTGGAAGATGAACAGCAACGGCGGTTCTAAATTACAGTAGCACCGCCCTCCGTGTATCTGATAGAGTACGCTTGCGGATGTTGTATAGAAAATTGCTGGCGGCCAATGTTCAGGTTGGGCTCGGAGCGGCTGGCGAATAACCAGGGTAACGAGATCTCGCAGCAGCGCGGGGGTGATGAAAACTGGTGTAAAATATTCTGCTGCAAGTTGGAAGCTCCTGTAGCGCCACAACGATGAAGTCGTCGTCTGATCATGATCGTGTTTCAGGCCAAGGAAACGGAAGGGACGGGAGGAAGGGAGATCGACCTTGCGGCTTGATCGGAGGAAGACTTCCCACGGTCAAAATGGACGGTGGCAAAAGCGTTTCTCCCGCCGCGTTTTGCCTCCGTCAGATTTCCGCTCCCCTTCGCCCCGCGCCATCCCGGCTATCAGCCCGTCCTTCTAGACCCAAGTCCCCATTCGGTCCGCCGCCGTCGTGTTATATTAATGCCTGGCTCGCGCCGTCCTCGTTGCTGCAACCCCTCCTCTCCTTCCTCCACGTCCTCTTCCGAATCATGAGCGCGGCCGAGATCAAGGAGCTCGAGCATATTGTGTCCGTTGCGCAGGCGAGTGATCGGACGCCTACGTGCACGGTCTCCTGTGGCTCACGCGCGATGCGCTATTGCAGACATACGTAGCATGTGAGATTATCCTCCAGCTTGCCAAATTCAATGCGGGACTGAAGAGGGGCCGCTGCGCGTACAGGCACGACTAGCATCTTGGTCTGGGACTGGTTGGCGTGTCTACCGCAGGAGGTGCGCCGTCGTCTCATCGAGCCATCGGCCTGCCCGCTCAGCGCCGACTTCTCCGCATATATGCAGTACCGATACATCTGGAAATCGAGATGGACGCCCATAAAATGCCTGTACCTGATGGTGCGCTACTACACGTTCGTGGTGCTGGTCGGTGAGTGCATCGCTGGAGGTCGCGAACATGCCGTTGGGCTGACTTGCGCCACCAGTGACGGACGTCTGTGAGTCGCCCATCCGAGAACACCGCATACCATTAGGCTGAACTCAGTGTCCGCTTTCGTAACGAAGGGTTCTTCGCGAGCTGGAGCGAAGCGTGCGTGTTCCATTCACGATTCATTGGGGAGAGACAGTGCCGTGTCATCTAACTTCCCATGTCTCGCAGAGACTGCGCGCGGGACCTGCGCATATTACCGGGTATGGCCGTCCTCATCGACTTTTGCGTCGAACTTGGTGAGCGACTTGCCGGTTATTCTTGTTCTCAATTATGGGTCTGGCTAAAAATGGTACCCGCCTTGCCGTAAACCGCAAACAGTGCTCGCGCTTCGGTAAGCTACATACTCCCGTTCCCGTTGGGCTCAACGCTCTCCACACCCGCGCTCATCTCTCGCATCGTGTTTGCAGGGTCTTTGCGCTCTACGACCACGACAAGCGTATCGCCGCGCTTCTCGGCACCCTCCTCGCCGCCTTCCTCGGGGTCATGATAGCGGTCCCCATCCTCGCCTTCGACTGTGAGTGTTCTTCGAGATCCGGCCCAGATAGGGTTCACGATGAATGCCGGGGCTCACGGCAACTCGGCTTGTCCCGCAGACACGAGGCTACCGTCATGGCCGGGTCCATGTTTAGGTGCGAGCTTGCCCTTTGTGCTAATGTGGTCAGACGCTTACCCCGTTCGTCGCTGGTTAGTAACGGGAAAGGCGTCGATAGCCGGCCCCAAGTTCATCATTGCGTTTTACGCCGCGCCCATGTGAGTCCTCATCTCAATATATCCTTCTGGGGACGACTGGGTTTCGACCTAAGACAATTGCATGGCTGACGGGCGTGTACATTACCGTTCAGGGCGTTCGACTTCACCGTCACGGCCCTCACTCTTTATCGCGCGTTTTTCCACGTCAGCCTCAAGCACACTAGTTCATCGCTCATCAAAACCTTCATCCGCGACGGTGTATTCTACTTCCTTGCTATATCCACGCTCAATCTGTGAGTGGCATGGATCAAACTTCCACGGCCGATGATTGACGAGCCTCCATGCTACTTGTAGCATCAATGTCATCTTCTTCGTGTCCGTGCCGATTCGTCGTCAGCCGTGTGTGTTTGCATTAAGCCCGTCGTTCCTCACAGCCAAAGAAACAAATCCATACAATCCCTCAACGCGCCCATGAGCATCCAACTCTCCACGGTCCTCTCATGTCGTCTGTAAGCCCCGCGCTCTCATTCTCATACTCACCCTTTCCTCATCCACTCACGGTGACTATCGTCGTCCTCCCGCAGCATCCTCAACCTCCGCGCTACGCGCGACCGCCATCCGTCCGTCAAAAAGTTCAGCAGCACCCTCCAAAAATGGGTCGACGACTTCCACATCACGCAGCCGTCGGATACGATGGCGTCGGGCATGACGCTCGCGAGCCCGATCCGCCGCCACGCGCGCGGCCCCGTCTTCGCGCGCGACCCGATCGAGACCGAGACCGCGGGCGTGATGGTGCGCTTCGAGGACGAGCTCGACCCGCCCGAGGCCGACTCGGAGCGCGGCTCGCACAGGCGAAACTCGAAAGACCGCGTGTGGGACGGGTCGACGGATACGACCGCCGGCTACGCTACGCCCGACGCGAAGTGAAGTGAAACTCGGACTGTCAGCTTGCCCCTCCGCCAACCGACCGACCGACCTGCCGCACCCTCCACTGACTACGTCGACCGACCGCCCGCTCTGACATATCATCTAACGCAATCTCTTCCTGGATCAACTTCAACCCATCAATCGCAATCCCCGCCGTTCGTAAGCTGTAGAAATCGATTCTTGTTCAGTTTTGGCTTACCGTCTGCGCTGTATATACTACTCACTACACTCTGGCACTTGTACTGGATCTCTTCTTTTTAGTAGTACTAATCCTGCTCGCTCGTTCCCTCGTCATTATAACCTTTGTCGCAATGCTATCGGTTATGCTTTCGTTGGCGCTGTCGCTCTCGTAGCTCGCTGCACTATGTATGTACACGCTGTTGAGCGCTTGCAGCCTCTTGCAGCCACCGGCGTCGGGAATTGCCGTGTTTGTCTCGACTTTCGCGCTCGCCGCATCTTCTCGAGTGGCTCAAGCCCGAAGAGCGACATAACCACTTGGCTTGACCCTGCGCAACCCTTGTATCAGGACAAGGGAGGGGTAGACCGTCATCTCGGCCCTTGCTCGCCTTGCCGGATGCCACCGAGCCACATCGCTGTACTTGGAGGCGGGATCTCAGGCTTATCCGCCGCGCATCACCTCGCGCGGCGCTATCCGACAACGCTCATCACTCTCCTCGAGAAGGTCAGTATCGTACGAGGCTCGTGCCCAAATGCATCGCAGCTGATTGCGTCTTAGCCAGGACTCCCGACTTGGAGGATGGATACGCAGCGAGCGAATGCGAGTCAGCGACGGGGCGGGTAACAGCGCCAGCGTGTTGCTGGAGGTGGGGCCGAGGCATCTGAAAGCGCCGACGAGGTCGCGCTTGCATTCGGCGTACGTGCTGGAATTGGTATGTTCACCATCGCTCGGCGTCGGGAGGACGGCGTGTTGACGAAGTGTTACAGGTGAACCAGCTCGGCATAGAAGACGGCATCGTGAAAGGACCCATGCCCGGTGCTCCTGATGCCATGCAACTCGTGTCCATGCCCGCCGTCAACGCCAACCCCTCAACCCCCGCCGAACTGATGCTGCTCCCCGACCGCTGGTCGGATCTGGACCCTTGGGAGCATCCGAGCCACCGACTCCTGATGCGCGCCGCCTTTTCCAACGTCGCCAACGGGACCCGACACCATAATTACGACCTCGGTAATCTTTCCAAGGCCGGCCGCTGGTTGAAGGGGCGCTCCGCGTCCCTCCTTGATGAAAACGTGCAACAATACCTCGAGAAGCGGTTCAAGAACCCGGTCGTGGCCGATATTCTCGGCACTGCGGTCGTGCACGGCGCCCTGGCCGCCGACGCGCGCTTCCTCAGCGTGGCGATCGCCTTCCCCGACGTGTATCGCTTAGAGCGCCTCGGCGTCGGGAGCGTCGTGCGCGGGCTGATACACGAGCGCTCTTTCCAATATCTATTTGGATCCCGATATTCGAAGAAGCATATACCGGGCGAGCTGGCGCGGCATGGGCTCGATACCGGGGATTTACCTGAAAGGTTACAGGACACGGCCGTCTTCTCCTTCAAGCAAGGCCTCGCGACGTTGACAGATGCGTTGGAGCACGCGTTGCTCAGATGCGAGAACGTCCGTCTACTGAAAGGCGCCGCTGTGGATCACATCAAGGGTCACGGCCGGGGCGAATTCCTCGTACGTTTCTGTGCACCGTAATGGATGGGATGCAGAACCGACCTCTGACCCAACATTTTGCCCTCTTATCAGATCGGCATAACGCCGGACAAGAAGCGGAAGCAGCCTTTCCCGCGAATGGACTCGCCTCCCGTCTCCCATCTCATCTCCACCGTCCCGATCCCCACCCTCGAGCGCCTATTCCAGAACGGGGACCGCAACCCGAACGACGGCAAGATATTCTTCCCATGGACCCAGCCCGGCTCGAATCACTTCCCTTACGCCTCCGTCGTCGTCGTCAACCTCGTCTTCCCGCCCTCCGACACGCCCCTCCACCCGCCCGGCCTCGGCTTCCTCGTACCCCGCCCGGCCAACGGCTACGACTCGCTCCCGAACCGGGGTATCCTCTCCGTCTCCTTCGACTCGCGCAACGTCGGGCCCGCGCAGGACTACGCGCTCGGCGAGAAGACGCGCGGCGAGGTGGGCTCGTCCCGGTTCACGAAGATGAGCGTCATGCTCGGCGGGCCGTTCCCGCTCACGCCCGCGCTCGTCGACCCGCCGACGGTCGTGCGGAACGTGTCGACGTACCTCGGCCGCGACCTGCCCAAGCCCGTGCTGTCGCGCGTGCACATCCTCCCGAGGTGCTTCCCGGCGTACACGCTTGGCCACAGCACGAAGGTGCAGCATGTACAGAAGGTGGCGCGCCCGGCGAAAGTGGCGGTCGTCGGCGCGGGCGTTGCGGGTGCGGACGTGGACACCTGCGTTGCGGTGGCAAGGGCCGCTGCACTTGGTAAATGGCTAGACGAGTGATATGTATATCGCACGCTATGCTCCCGATGTGACATACTGCACTTCGCATTTTTTGTTGTTATGATGACGTGCTCGACGATGTTCTTCCTCGCACATCGTCTGTCGACCGATTCGAACAGATCAGGAAAGAACGTCTGCGCAATTCAACGAGCCTCAAGGACGGAATATGGTAATCATCTCAAACAGTATCACCACCGCTTGCGCGGCCCCAACGAAGGTCCCATTCAAAAATAAAAAGTTCGCGAACATAAATAAAGCCCTTCTCGCATCGACACCCTGCTGACCCTTCGTCACGGTATCCGACGACGCGCCTAAGCGGACGTGCTGGTTGGGATCGGCGCGGACTGAGTGTAGGTGATGATCTCCGTCGTCTGCGTCAGGTAGGGCGCGTGTTGAAGGACGGTGTTCCTGACGCGCGTCATGCTGGTATAAAACACCGAGTTAGTCTGGCGAACGTTTGATGCGTGGTGTGAGGCGGTAGACGTACGTGAACGTGCGGAGGGTCTCGAGGGCGGTGTTGGTGGTGATAGTCGTATCTGCCTGCGGGTTCTAAGAGGGGGGAGAGCGTTATGAAGTCGACCGAAGACGAAGCATGGCGTCGAGACGAACGGGGACGGCAAACGCAACGGCGGCGGAGGCCAAGATGATTGAGGCGATCTTGAGCTGCATGCTCGGCAAGGTCGATATGGATGTGGTAAGGCGAACGATGGGAAGATCTCTGCTTTCGGGGGCGAGAACTGGGCGGAAGTTCGAGCGTGTACAAGTCTTTATACAGGCGGACCCCCTTCTTTCGGTATTTGTGCTCTAATCGTTGAGAGCGACTTCGCGTTCCTTGGTCTCGCCTTTTGCGCGTGCTGAGCGACCCTGTGCGCCTTTGCACGGCAGCCGAAGGAGATCGCTCAAGCGCTCACCGAAGTTCGGGTCTGATGGTGTTTCAGAAGGAGATCGGGTACGAATATGAACTGCGGCGACATGATCGTCGTAGGACGGGCCAAGAAGCGCCTTACCAAAGTGGGTTTCCCGGCCCGACGCACGGAGGAGGCCGCCGCGCTGATGCGCGACGACGACCTTGTCCTGAAGGAGCGAGGATGACTTGAGCGCCTGAGAATTTGGCCCGTCGGCATGATATGAAAGGTTACGAACCCCTGGTAAGCGCCAGCAAACCGCTGATATGAAGGTGATCCGCAGAGCGGACGCACACATCAGGAAAAATCGGATTTGCTAAAAGCCTCCTAAAATGTACTAAAATGTGCTCATTTAGTAGTTTTAGAGGGTTTCGGTACCCAATAAGCGACTCTTTCGATAGTCCGATTTTTCCTGATGCAGATCTCGGATCAGGGTTACTGACAGAACCTGTCAGAAACCCGGATCGCGGAGCAGGAACTACAAAGTCAGGTTGAATCGCCGAGACGATGACCGCATACTTTATCGGCCGCCGGCTGGCCAGGTCGTCGTTGTCTCCGCAAACATCAATCGACCTCTTCCCCGGACGCGCTGGACGCCGAGTCCTGTGCTTTAGTTCGGATTGCAACGGTGCCGCAGCTTCCTGCGGCGGATACAGCCCTGTCGATCCTTCCGCGCACAAACCAAAGCTGGTCCATGGCTGCATGAGCAGGATAAGATAATCAAAGACGCAAAGCTGTTACGCGTCTCTCCCGATTGATGCGGTTTGCTGTCAGGTGGAGCGAAGGTAAGTCCGCGCATCGCATCGTGCGAAAGACTGCGCAAATCGCTTCTTTCTTGTGCGTTCTCACGTTTCCTACCTCTCCCTTGAAGTCTGCACCGACGGATTGATCGGACCGTCAATTACCTCACTCCGTTCAGGGGCCTCCTCAGGCACTAGCCCAGGCCACCGAGCGATATGCGCGTCTTCGGATCACCGTCCATTGTCGTCGGCACGTCGCACTAACGCGACCCAAGCCATGCCCGTCATGCGTCCGTGTGAACGCATATGGGGCTCATGAAGATCGGAAAGCCGAGGAAACGATTATCGCACCAGGATCGCATTCGTCACTGCAGTGGCATTGTATCTGCGGGCCGCCGTAGGGAAGCCATTGCCCTCTTCCCGCCTCCGAAGCCTTGCGAACGTCGCAACCTGCTTCTCACGTCGCGGCGGCCCCGGGTACGCGAGTCGGACCGCAGCCTGACGCCCGAGCGACTCGACGGCAAGTGCGTGATGACCCTGCGACGTTCAGGAATTGCAAAGTCCGGCGCTGCTGTTCCTATGCTGATGCCTGCAGAGATCGCCTCCAGGTATAAAGGGATGCGAACCGGCAGGAACTTCCAGCAGCGAGAAGTCACTCGGTTCCTCTCCCTCGAAGTTTCTCTAAGATGGTCTCTCGCTTGCAATCCTTGGTCCCTCTCGCTCTTGCTGCCCGAGGTGTATTTGCCTCGATCGGCCCCGTCACCGACCTCAACATCGTGAGCGCCATCCTTAACCCGGATGGCTCCGTTGAGAGAGGGTAAGTCAACTCGTCTCGGGAAGACTGAACGATCCATCTGACTTGTAATCCTGCAGTGCTGTTACCGCTGAGGGTGGCGCCGTTGGCCCGCTCATCGTCGGCAACAAGGTAATTCGCTACGCAGTCGTTTCCTCTACAATACTCACGCGAAATCGTAGGGCGACAACTTCCAGATCAACGTCGTTAACTCGTTGAGCAACAGCACCATGTTGCTGACCACTTCCATCGTGAGTCGTTCACCTACGCTCTAGCTTCGCCATCTGACAGGCTTCACAGCATTGGCACGGCATCTTCCAAGCTGGCACAAACTGGGCGGACGGTCCCGAGGGCGTGAACCAGTGCCCCATCGCATCTGGAAATTCGTTCCTCTACAACTTCAACGTCCCCGACCAAGCGGGCACCTTCTGGTACCACTCCCACGATGGTACGCAGTACTGCGACGGTCTTCGTGGGCCGTTGGTTGTGTATGACCCCAGTGATCCGTACCTGGACGACTACGACGTCGATGACGGTCAGCTACTACCACGATCTACTCTCTTCGAGACGTGCTCATTCGTATCCCAATTTCAGAGAGCACGGTCATTACTCTTTCTGACTGGTACCATGACGTTGCTCCGACTATCGGTGAGTCTTCATATGAGCCATACGCAGGCCGTTTCTGAACCAGGTTATCTCATAGCTTTCGGGTGAATAACACCTTTCATGATTCAATTTCGCTCAGACGCGCTGACATTTGGGACAGTACCTCTGATGCTACTCTCATCAACGGCCTGGGCCGCTTCTTCGACGGCACTAACGTCAACGATGCCGACCTCGCGGTCATTAGCGTCGAGCAGGGCAAGCGCTACCGCTTCCGGTGAGATGACTTGGTCTATATACCGGGCTCCTCGGCTCATCACTTTCCTCGCATAGTTTGATTTCTATCTCTTGCGACCCCAACTTCACGTTCCAGATCGATCAGCACAACTTCACGGTTCGTCTTGCCCTTGTCCCTGCCATACTTGTCAGCTCATGTTGCTGCTACAGATCATTGAGGTCGACGGTGTCAACCACGAGAAGCTGACGGTTGACTCCCTTGTCATCTTCGCCGGCCAGCGCTACTCGATCATCCTCAACGCTGATCAGCCCGTCGACAACTACTGGATCCGCGCTGACCCGAACAACGGTAACACGGGCACTGACTTGGGTCTCAACTCGGCCATCTTGCGCTACGTCGGAGCTAACGAGACCGAGCCCACCACCACCCAGGATACCAGCGCCAACCCTCTCGTCCAGGGCGATCTCGTGGTAAGCATCCTGCTTGTAATTTGTGATCGCTCGAGCTTATCGATCGGCTCAGCCCCTCGAGAATCCCGGTGTGAGCGGCGGCGACGATACCAAGTGCGTTGACTGCGCCGACTACAACCTCCACCTCGACTTCACCTTCAATGGCACTTTCTACACCAACGGTTTCAGTGAGCACAGTCGACACCACTGTAGGGTTTCACGGTATTGACCCGCCATTCACAGCTTGGACGAGCCCCACCAGCCCGGTTCTCCTCCAGATTCTCAGCGGCGCGACCTCCGCCTCGGACCTCCTCCCTGCCGGCAGCCTCTACGCCCTCCCCGCCAACAGCTCCATCCAGCTCTCCATGGCCGCCGGCGCCCTCGCTGGAAACCCCCACCCCTTCCACTTGCACGGCCATACCTTCGACGTCGTCCGCGGCGCCGGCGAGACAACCTATAACTGGGACAACCCCCCGCGTCGCGACGTCGTCTCCCTCGGCGACGACGCGACGGACGGTATCACCAACAACGTCACCGTCCGCTTCACGACCGACAACGCCGGCCCCTGGTTCCTCCACTGCCACATCGACTGGCATCTGGGCACCGGCCTCGCGATCGTCTTCGTCGAGGACTTCGCCGACATTTCCACCACCGAGTCCCCCAGCACCGCCTGGTCGGACCTCTGCCCCACCTACGACAGCCTCACCGCCGACCGTACGTGATCGCTCCTCCGATATCGCAATGACCTATACTGACAAGCGGACAGAACTCGGTGGCATCAACTAGACTCTCGTTTCAAACAAGAAGAAAGAACAGCATTCAAAGCATACTGGTTTGGGCTTGAAGCAGTGGCGAACTTTCATATTTCTCGAAGTCATAATGGGTTGATTGGTGCAACTATGTTTATTCTTCAATATCTATATACATGACTCGTGAAATGCGACCGCGTTCGTTCGTTACCTTCACACCGTTTTGTGCGCTATCTCTCAATCACCACCGCGATCGTGTTATGAGCCTTCCCAGGACTCCGTCACCTACTTACCGGCGTCTACACTCCTACAAAAACGCGAGTTCCGGTGGGTGTCTCTTATTCCGTCTTGCTTCGCATGGGCAAGCCCCACGCCATACATAGAGATATCCGCTGTTGTCAGCTCCTCGCATACGGAGCATGGGTGAACTCGTTCGGCACCGGTCGTGATGGCGTCTCTCCGGAGGATAATTGCTGTGAAGACTGTACGCGTACGGGTAGCCCGGCCCGCCGTAGAGGTCGCTGGCATCGACCGACGAAGCGCCGTTCAATGCTGGACGGTCTTCAGCTCGAGCACCTTCCACTGATGATCCGTCGCCAAACTCGTACTTGCAGTCAGATGCCCATGGCCAGCATAGATATCCGAGTCGTGCGCGGAAAAGCCCCGGTGTACCTTCTGCCTTCTTCGACGTCGTATAGAAACGTGCAGAACTTGTACAGGGCGAATTGCGACTGTCGGGGAAAGCGGATTTTGGATAGACATTCTGGTTGGTAGAAACAGTGCGTGATGCGCGAAACACCAGGGAGCAGTTCAGCGTCGAATGTTGTTGGCGAAGAGCAAGAGCCTATCGGAGGGTCTCGCGGCCCGATGCCACACTTCTATCTTTTCGACCGCGACCTACCTTTCCGCAGAATCATCATGGAAGCTAGCCGCAGAAGACAACGACAAATTTACTTCAGCAGTTCGACCTTTCAGCGATGCTCATATGGCTGCATGAGGCGCGATGGACGATATTTCGGGACCATTTCGGATTATCGTCACCAACACAGTTCACAACATTGTCAGTATGTGGTCATCAGCCTCATATCCCCATCTGCCCTTTCGGAGGTACGGAAACTGATAGATAAACATCAGAACATAAATGGCAGAAGCACACTCTCGGATGAACCACTCCCATGTCATGGTCACCTGAAGACGAATCGAGCTCGCTGCGAAAGTATAAGACACATCCGGCACAATCTCGTCCTCTAGCAACACAAGGTCGCTTTCCCTTCCTCCACCTCTGACGCCATGCACAGGATTCTGGCTGCTCTCGCTGTTCTCATGCCCCTCTTGGGCTCGGTCGCCGGCCAGTCGCAGGAGTGGGGCCAATGCGGAGGTATAGGGTGGACCGGCGCCACAACTTGTGGTAAGTTGTGAAGCCAGACTCATCCCAACGCTGGGGCTTACGGATTGCAGTCGCCGGCACAACTTGTACCGAGCTCAATTCGTACTACTCGCAATGTTTGCCCGGAGCTGCCAGCTCGACGGTGCCCACGTCCACAGCGCCGGCGTCCTCGTCCGCCTCCAGCACCGGCACCGCGACTGGCAGCGCCCCGACTGGCCTTAGCTCCATCCCAGCCTCGACGCTCTTCCAGATCAACAACTTTGGCACGAACCCGAACAACGTCGCGATGTACGTCTACAAGCCGGCCAAGGTCGCCTCCAACCCGGCACTCATCGTCGCCATCCACTGTGCGTCCTTTTCTATACTATCCTTCTCGGGATTGTGATGCTCATCCCCTGTATCTGCGCTCGTTCAGACTGCTCCGGCACGGCGCAGGCGTATTACAGCGGATCGCGGTACGCGCAGCTCGCGGAGACCTACGGCTACCTCGTCCTCTTCCCCTCCTCGCCGCACTCGGGCACGTGCTGGGACGTCTCCTCCGACGAAACGCTCACCCACAACGGTGGCTCAGACTCGCTCGGCATCGTCTCTGCCGTGCGCTACGCTATCGCGAACTGGGGCGTCGACTCCAGCCGCGTGTTCGCCGCGGGCACGTCCTCCGGCGCGATGATGACGAGCGTGCTCGCCGGCGCGTACCCGGATGTGTTCGCCGCCGGCGTTGTGGACTCTGGCGTCGCGTTCGGGTGCTTTGCGCTCCCCGGCCAGCCGGACGACTCGTGGAACTCGCAGTGCTCGACGGGTGAGCTGATCCTCACGGGCGCGCAATGGGTAAGCGTAGGATACATTAGACGCCGTATCATCCCTTTCTGACCTCCAGGCTAGGCGCAAAAGGTGTACGCCGCATACCCAGGCTACACCGGCCAGTACCCCAAGATGCAAGTCTGGCACGGCACCATGTGCGCCTTCTCTCCTTTCGCCCCTGTCCTTCCCGGCTGACACGTTGACTGTTCAGCGATACCACGCTCTACCCCCAGAACTTCTGGGAAGAGATCAAGCAGTGGACGACTGTGTTCGGCTACCCGAGCACGCCGGTTACCAACGTCACGGAGTCGTATCTCCCTACAGGTTACTCCAACTCGACGTTTGGACCGCGCTTCCAAGCCATCCTGGCGCAGAACGTCGGGCACACGGTGCCCCTGTTTGAGCAGCAGTACTTGCAGTTCTTTGGGCTTGCGTGAGGGCGTAACGTCGAGGACAGCGGAACGGCTCTGCTTTGACATCTTCTGGAAGGGCAGTTGATGGATGGATGTACTCGTATGTTGTGTGTTTTGGAGTCAATTCCAATGCCATCTTATATGACTCCAGGAGGCCCTTGAGCGGCTTCCTGCCTTACCGCGCAATCAGCGAGATAGATCGACATGGTGTGCAATTGACATGTATTATGGCATGTACGGAGTGTGCATGTCTGTCCGATCGATGTCCGAGTTCCCCGAGAACGATTCAGTTAACTGTTCACGTGGAAATCAGTGCAGGCGCAGCTGTGCGCGCTCTCTCAAGTCCTCCCCTTTCACTCCGGTTGATTCCCTCAGGGTATGCACAGGGTCCTGCGAAGTTCGACTATACCAACGATCATCAAATATATATATGCACTGGACCTTTGGCCACGATTTTCGGATATCCGTCTGAACAGCAATAACTTGGAGCTCTACAGCATGAAGCACAGCTCGTCGAGCGTAAATGATTATTAGAAGCGATTCTATCAAGAGCTTCCACCTCTCCCCCCGTAACGTGTCTAAGAAAGCGGCCTATCGTACATCATGAACATGTGGTACCGCACGAGCTGCAGGAACTTGTCGACACTGACGCCCTCTCGTTCGTCACCGGAACCGACAGCACCTTCTCGGGACGGGCCGAACATGGCTACACACTCGGCCAGGCCTTCAAACGCACGCTCGGTTTGGTGAAGGCTCTCCCGGCGCTGCCGCAGTTTCTGACAGTACCCCGACTGAAAGCGTGGAGGAGGAGGAAGGAGACGACGCAAGGCGTCCTCAATCGCAGGGGCATCCGGGTGCGATTTCAAGACGGACAGGATCTATGCTTACCGGAGGACGCCACGTACGACGTGTGTATCCAGATCGGTTGGCATACTCAACCACCCCTCCACTTATGATTTCTGCAATTCAGACGGGCCAAGATTGTTCGATGTCAAGCTTGTACCATGGGATACTCGTTATGGTGAGTAACAGTGTTATTGATTATGTACGTTCGCTGAAGCTCTTCGCAGGCTTGGCGTATCTCTTCGATGCGGCGCCACGGAGCTGATGACCAGCTTACATACATATCGACCCTGTGCCCATGGACGTTTACATCGTATGGGACATTCCATTGTTACTACGAAGATATGATGTCCGTGTATCAGTATGCGATGTCATCTCACATCGTGCAAAGTGTCGCCGAGTAATGCGCACGATAGTTTAGGCTCAAAGCTGAAGGGCGAGGCACTACGCGATAGAGACCCCCGTAGATACAAGCAACGAACACTGTTCATCTAAACCCCACAAACTTCGTAGAAGTAAGGTCGAATCAACGCATGCTAAGCACACGCGGAATACATCACACAAAGGCCGGGATGTGTGTCTTTCTGGATGAGTTCATCTCAACGAGGCTTCGGAGCGGCGAGTGACAGAGCGGGAGCAAGAGCTAGAATGTACGCAGTACAGTTAGCTTCACACTGCGTAGGGATAACGAGCAGGTCTATTCATGTACCTAGAATGTACGCAGTACAGTTACTGAGGTACAATGAGCAACAATTAACTTAACGAGAGAATGAATCAACGTACGCTTCACACTGCGTAGGGATAACGAGCAGGTGAAGCGACGGATTTGCGAACGCGATGCTTAAGTGAGCGACGGCGGGCCGGAGGCCAAGAATATGATAAGAAGGACCATGTGGGCGCACCGGGCGCCTTCGCGATGCGAGGGGTATCATCAGTGCTTTGCACCGATTGGATCTGGAGATCCGAACCTAGACCTTCGACACTCCCCCTCAAG